GTTGTCACAGCAGATCGCTTTCCTCCATCTCACCCTATCCCTTCTGTCACACCAACCCACTGCATCTTTTCTCCTGCCTGGCATCTCCAGCTCCATCTTTAACATCCTTTATTGAAATGGTCCTCTACCCCTCACTATTCCTCATCTGAATATGTCCAAACCATTTCAACCCTGCCTAACTAACTTTAACTAATCAATTGTCTCCAAATCTGAGCTAAAAATGATGATGATTTGTAATCTTGTCTGTGCTGGTCATTCCCAATGAAATTATAAGATATCTAACTGCCACTCACTCTTTTTGGTGTCACAAATATCACAAATCACCCCTGATACTCATCTCCACCTACTCCACCCTGCCTGCACTTTCTTCTTTAACACTCTTGTGTACGGTCAGTTGCTTTGGATGGTTGACCCCAGGTATTCTCCATCTTCATTACCTCTACTGCTTGTTTTCCATGTTGACGTTTCCACCTGTCTCCCGCTCATTGTTTCTTCTGTTTTCTATTGATCACAATTCCATCTGTTACTATCATAGTCCAAGGAGACTCCTGCCTGACCTCATCTGTCAATCTATCCATCAAGGCTTCAACGATTCGAGTAACTCAAAGAACTCAATTATTAAAAAAAAGAAAATCTAATGCAATATTTTTTTTTCATTTGGGTGCTTCATTTTAATTTTATTGAATCAATCTATGATGTTTAAATTACAGGCTGTCCGCAGCTGTCCTAGCTTATATGGCAGCAATACCTGCAAGAAGCAGGAGCATGGGGTATACTAGACCATACTTATTTGAAGGTTTAAGTAACATTACTTTGGATAATTTCTATATTTTATAGAAAATAAATATATAAATTAAATTATATCAATACTTAAAAAATAAAAGGTTTCTTTTTCCTCACACTGCAGCCCAATAAAAATATACATGGGAGAGTAAAACTGAGCCACTGACCTAGGGCTGTTAGATTGGACACTGAATTATTATTCATATTCATTATTAATACATCATTTGAAAATTTGCTTTCTGCAGTAGGAAACGTTGCATCAAAGCACAGGGCAAACATCAGTTTGTGAGAATGCTGATATGCTCGCTTTTCTTCATTGCAGTCACGCATAGCTCATTAGCTTGCACGCTAACGCACAGATACACATACACATGAACATAAATCAAATCCATACCATCCAGGAAAAATGTCAAGATTTTTTTTTCTTCCTCTTACTACAAGAAAGCTGTCATATGAACCCAATATGCAGGACCTGAGAGAAAAAACCTGAACTCAAAAACAGCTTTAATGCTGAAGAAGTATTACAAAACACACACACACAGAAAAAAAATCCTATGTAGTTTAATGAAGTTGCCAGCTGAAACTATAAACTAGTTTCCTTTCTCTATCCAATGTCACTGTTATTTTGCCCATCATAAACATTTCCTGTTTTTGACATGCCCGAGTATTTTTTAGCCCACCCAGGTCTTCCCACTCCTGTTAAGGTTTTTCTTTGTAATCTAATTTAATTAAATTGAAAGTTTTTGTTTATAAATATTTATTTGTTTGACTATTATATCTATCTATCTATCTATCTATCTATCTATCTAAACTCCTCATAGAGATTAAACATTTATTTTCCAGGAAGTGGGCCAAAGGGACAGCAGAAATTGCAACAATTATGCCATAACTGTTCTATAAAGTGATTGAGTGCCCAAAAAGGGCTGGATTGCTTGTAATCTAGAACACAAAGTATACACAATAACGCACGTTTTATTCACACACGCAAACAGTCAGTACTGATTACACTGGTACCTGGACGGGCTGCACACGGGGCAGGTGCTGTAAAAATCTGTGAATCGGAG